CTGTAAGATAAATCAACTTCAGATTAATTCATTATCAATAACTTGCATCCTTAAGGAGTTAACTTAATTTATATCTACTCATATTCATGTAATTAAGCTTTTTAATGATTTGGCCGATTAATCGAAAAAATAATCAACAAATTAATCGTTTATAAAAATAATTGTTAGTTGCAGCCCTACACTTTAATACTTACCCTAACGTAATTTACACCCTTATTGCCATTTAACAGCTACAATCAAGCTACTTTATATATATTTTTACTCTGCATCCCTTTCTGTAACCTTCTGATCCAGGGGAAGCTGCTGCTCCTGAGCCAATGCTTTCATGCCCCGTGATGCACCTTTGTTTCCGTTTGCAGCCAAGAAGCAGGAAAGGGAGAAGCTTTTTCCACACACTTGCTCAATAACTTTTGTTCTTTTGGAACCAAAGATTGTAGCTGCACCTGGAGGTCTAAGGGCGTCTTGTCCAGCGGTTATATCTACTTGTTAAATAAATCTAATGTTTCTTCATTTCTATCAGGGACAGTCATGAGGAGTAAATGACACAAAAAAGCTAAATGTGCTAACGAAACACGAATGTAAGCAAAGTAAACTATAATCTAAAGAGATTTATTTTTCTTTTACGTTTGCAACAGAAGGTGACTCCCACTGTGAGGAAAATGCCAACGTGCTCCGGTGAGTTAAGACCTAAAGTTCGCAGTTAGCCAACAGAATTTTAATTATTCCAGACCTGCTTTGTGTGATTGCCCCACGCTGCATCAATGTTTTTCTGTGTTCAGAGAGAAAGATAAAGCCTCTCCTGCCTCGCACCGAATCCTACTTGGTTCCCATCCGGCTCCCAGTCGCCTCCCCCGTGTACCTGCCATACCCGTCTGCTTCCTTCATCYCCGGGGGGCCGAAGCGGAAACAGAACTTTTGTCGAATAGCCAAGAAAGTGCGTATTGCTCCGAAGGTAAGAACTTGATCATATGGAACTGTTTGCGAAGCATTATTTCCGGTCGTGTCTGGTATTAGCTGCCATACTACGGCAGGCTATTCTAACATATAATTGTCTTCGCCTGACTGTCTGTAATTACATTCTAGAAAAAAGTTTTGATTAGGAGCAACTACATTTTGATCCTGATTCCTGAATGGTAATTTAAGATATCTGTGTTTACATTCTATATTAAAGGGATCCTCGATTAGTTGTAACATTAGACTTTATTTGAAAAACATATATTTTAACTGTAAAATAAAGACTGTAAAAATACTGTAGGCTGTTTGGTTTTGTAAATTTTTAAAAATATATTTTAACACAGACGGAGCCATTTTATTTACACACAAAGCATTCTGGGTAAATGATGATGTGGATGTCCTGAAGGTTAATCTTGGACAATATCTGATGATCGACTCTTTTTAATGAAACCAGAGAGCGTTGACAGAGAGGAGAAGGTAGAAATGACTCAGCCTG